GATTAACTACTGAAAAATAACAGATAAAATATAATGTTTTTTCTTAAGAAACATTTGATAACTATTTGGACATTATAAAGACTTTGCATGTGAAATTTCAAAATTTTCTGATACATAAGAACATTTTTAACCTTAAAATGAATATTACTTTGCATGATAGATAGGCAACATGTGAAAAACATTGCTGTGTAAAAAAATTTGATATTTTGCGTATGATAGCATTGTAATGTTTGCTGATAATCTGCCAAATTTCGTTAACATTCTGTTATTAATTCAAAAGTTATAGCATGAAAATTATAACAAGCACAAAATGTTTACGAGGTCGTCCCAGGGACTGAGCCCATGCTGAAAGAGTTAAACACTAAATTTAAAATCAACATTAGTACTACAGAAAGAAATCCCGTGGTATATTCCTATGCCATACTAATAATCCCCTTTAACAAAAATGTGTAACCATGAAGTCAATAAGTTGGTGAATATGCAATTCTTGACACAATAATCATGGGATAAATAGCTGTTAACTCTCTCAACATGGGCTCCGTCAATGTGACCGACCACATGACCTCTTTGTATTCCTTCAAAGTCTTTATAGATTTGGTACTAACTTTTAATATACTATGTATATTTTCATGAAATTTGGCAGTCTTTCAATAAACATTATAAGTCGATCACATACAGAAAATCGTATTTTTAAGTATTTTTCTATAAACTAAAAAAAAAGATTTGTCCTTCAATGTATCGAGTATTTGTTTTGAATAGTCTGCGTGCAAAGTGATTTTCATGTTAAGATTAAAAATACTTTTCTTCATCTCAAAAATTTCAAATTTCATTTGCATAATTTCTAAAACTTCCTAAATACATTTCAAATTCTTGTTTCCAGTAAAACTTTATATTTTATCCGTTACTTTCTCTACAAGGTTGATCAATTTAACCAATATCATAAATACCAAAAAAAATAAAAAAAATAATCTAAATAAATCTAAAGTTAACATTTTCTAACACTGAAAATGTATTTCCTATAGGTATTTACCTCCTTATCCATAGCTATCTTGACCTTCATTTGCCCTCTAGGCGTTGGTAAACATTTTAAAAGCTGACCAGTCTTTTAAACCACTATATTTTTTGCATCATTGCAGCAACATGTGCTGATCATGTGACCACCATCCACTAATCCCATGGTAGTGCAGATCGCTACCTCTACCCTTAAAGCACAATCCTCACTTTCAAGAATTGGCATATACAAACCCCAAAACAGCAGCAAGTCAGTGGGGAAGAAGGGTGGCTATGGGAAATACATTTTCAGTGTTAGAAAATGTTAACTTCCGAAACGGAAGGTGGAGGGGCCAGTGAAGGTGCAAAAACATATAAGCAAGCAGAGAACGACCATTATGAAAAATGAAGGTGTGCCACAATTAAAATACAAGGCACACCTGTTGGGTATAGCACTACTTCTGGAACAGGTATGCTTTTCACCCAGTAAAGAAGATAAAACACATAGGGCAGAAACAAATAGAATACATGGCTATAGCTAGAGGACCGTATATGAATAGGCCAAGTGTGATCCACCTGGGTAGAAAACATCCAGGAGAAGCGCCTTGGGATATGACATATCATGTCAATTGAGAAAGTGAGGATAGTGCCACAGCAATAGTATAGAAAACACAATAAAATTGGTGGAGGGTGGTCACATCATCAGCTCATGTTGCTGCAATGACACAAAAAATATAAGGGTATAAAAGACCAGTCCATTTTTAAAAATTTTACCAATGCATAGAGGGCAAATGAAGGTCGAGATAGCTATGAGGAAGTAGAGGTAGTACTGTTTTGGGAATTACTCTTTTTTCTTGACTGACCTCGTAACCACCAATAAAAACATCAAATAAATCTAAATTACCCTTTTTTCTTTCCGGAATGACTTCAAATTGTAACATGAAACTACATTTGTTTATCCTAAATATCTCTAGGTTCATAACAGTATACATCTATTTATAATCAAATTTTATTGTTTTATTGCCCTTTGAACTGTGTCTAACTACTATTCATGTCATTATAAGATGTAAATCATTTAGGAAACTGCAGCTCACGTTAAGCTAAAGAATTACATTACCCACAAACTACTCCGAGCTGCTTGCGTGCGTGCCTCATGAAACATTTTTATTATATTATTAAAATTCATTTTACCTAATCTAACCTTAGTTAACCTAAAGAGATATGTAATTTTACATTTTAGTTACTTTTATAATAGTGAATAAAGAATAAACATGAAAAACAAGAAATAAAGTACTTACCCGAGTCTGCTTTTTTTTTGCTGTTGACTGTCGATGACACTTAATCTTACTTTTTTTTAAACTAATGGTAGTAATGCACTATATAATTTTTATTTAATTAAATAATGCACCAAAGAACACAGAATAATAACATGCAAAAAAGCAGACGATTTCTCCTAACTATCACAACTTTCTAACTATGCGACAAGAGAAGTTCACAAATTCATTCAAGCTAGTCGTTATCCTTCCCTTTGGAATGAAAGCTTTACTAACATAGAAAATGACAATTCTCTGTTCAGAAAGCAATGTAATATAATACATCATTTGATAAATGAAAACCTTGGCTTCCTATTGGTTATACACAATATAGAATTAAACATAAGAGAGAACTATTAACAAATCGTGAAAGAGAGGATGTGACAGGTGGTGTGGCAGGGGTCTGATTTTTTATCTGATGGTTCTGTAACCAAACAAGATTGAAGGCTATAAAAATTATGGTTTGTCTGAGCAATGACGATTTTATAGTGATTAATTTATGTTAAATTCTGTACATACTGGAGGGAGTGGTGAATAAAATAGAGAAGAGGGGATGCCTAGAGAAAATATGTAACATTTCTCACACTAGTTTAATTAAAATTTGAATGTAAGTCACTAAAACCTCATGACACACTCAGTAAATGATGCCTGGGCAGAGAGGGTTAAAGGGTTTGTATTCAGACCAACAACCCACATTTTAAGATTAATCCACTCCTGTCCAATGGACTTTTTTTTTTATGCTTATAATTCTGCCCTCCAGAATTAGAGTCAAATAACTTGTTCAACTCTTTATACTGCAGATGCTCAGTTCAGCTACAAACAAAGGCATTTGTGAAAGTTAAAAATTTGAAGTAGTGTAAATGGTTTATTCATAAGCTGTCAGGTTTTTACGTATGTGTTGGCTGGATTCTTTACAATAGGTGTCTGTGACTTGTTGGGAATAAATTTAAATAACAAACAAGCAACACACAGTCCACCTGTTTTAAAATAATATAATAAAACAAGTCAAACCTATATACAAATATTTGTTACACAGTTAATCACCACAGTTGTAATCAGAACTTTAAATAATAATCTCTTTTCATCAAAGTTCAAACAAGCTTGTTCAATTACTTTAGAACATAATTGACAGGACAAATTATTCTTCTCTACTCTGTTGTTACAATACAACATGCAATAATTTCACTTTAGAAAAAAAAGAGCTACTATATGCTCTTTATAGCTAAACTCACAAACAGTCTAGATCTATTTGACTATCTCTCACTAACTTTGTCTTACTTGCTTTAACTACATTTTGGACATCTGAGGCCTAGAACTTTCCACATACTATGAGATATTATGATGTAACAATACTTGATCAAAACAACAAGAAAAATTTGGAAGGTTCTTGTAACATGATGCAATAATACAAGTGCCAAATCACAACAATTTGATTTTAACGTAAACAAACCTGCAATAATCTATACTGCACTATACTTAAATTAAAACAGTCATGTACATCTAACATATACAAAGATAGTTTAATTAAGTTAAATGTTACTCTCTATAAAGTCGTAACAAACACTCTTTAACCTGCCCATAGTTTGAAGGTTAATAAACAGGTCAACAAGCATTAACACATAAACAACTATTTTTGACCAGTGACTATTATGTTGTGCAACTAATAATAAAATGCCATTAATCTCATAAAGACAGTACAATAAAAAAAAAAGTCAGTGATCATAACTATGTAGTGCATTTTACCACAATAAGGTAATTCTGAAAGACAGTAAGTCAGTGAAAGAGTTTTTAACCCTGTGTCCTGAACTGATGGCAGGAAATACAGCAAACTGACAGAAGAAACCAAATCAGCATTCGTAACCGTACAGATATCTTTCAAACTTCAGAATACAATATATTTATGTATCCTGAGCTATGAGTCATGGTTTAGGTAACTTTGTTAAATTTGATTCCTGCACAAAAATAAAGCCACTTGTCTGCTCTTTGATAAATTACAACAAGAAACAGTAATTTGTTTGTATAAAACACTTTACAAACAGTTACTGAATACATCAGAGGATTTAATAATGTAGTTGCCAAATTACTATAGTAGTAGTAACCAGCTTAAACACTTTACTGCACAAGAATATCTGTTGCAAAACCTTGCTGATATTTACAAAATTTCAGATAATTTCCTGCACTTCAGATGAAAAGTCACTTAAACCAATCTTAAAATAAACACCAATTTAAATAAACCAAGAAATGTTCTTCATTAAGTTATTGTGTAACTTATTCATTGAAAGAATGTGAGTAGTGACTGGCAACATGACCTCAAAATCTGTTAGAGGAAAAAATGTCAAATTATGTAACACCATTGAACATTAACTCATATGAAACTTAAATGAGCATTATACTAACTGTTAAACAAAAGCTTTAATCTCTAGTAAAAAACTAGGAACTTTGTGTTTCCTAGGTTCATTAAATAGCAATAATGTGAAATAATATTTGTTATTTAATTACTCCTATCTGCCCTACCTTTCTCCCAAAAGCTCTTTTCCATTTAGTTCATATACAGCATCATCAGCATCCCGATAGTCATCAAATTCCTAGGAAAAATATATATCCATACATACCTTATACAGTAAAAACTTAATCCACTAAAATCAAGCAAATTATGGATTAATGGACTTCATATTTTTATTTTAGTAAGTTAGTGTATCAAGAATTTGTAATAGTAAGAGAAATAACAGTAGCAATCAAATAGTCGTCATATAACATTTTTTTTACGTTATGCTATTAGTGGTGAGGCATAGCATCTTAATTAACCCTATCTATAAGGTTCTTCCTATACGGGCTATATCACTGCGTTTGTAGACTCGTATTCAACATTTTATTCAACTACTATTTTATGAATGTATGTCAATAAGTTTGGTATCATAGTGTAGATAAAAAATTCAAATTTTTGTATTTATACATTAGTTAATTTCTTAATCTAAAAATAAATATTGAGAAAATATCGATTTTTTTGTGTCATGTGGTTATGTTGAAAGCAGCATTGGTACCAATTAGATGTCTGAGATATTCAAATACAAAGTCTATAGTTTCTTACAAATTAGGAACTCAAATTACTTATATTGACAAGCTAGGATATAAAATGAGAACCTTCTGTCTTTTCTATTTGCTGAGATATCTCTACATTTACTGAATCAAACACAGTGGGCCCATCCACCTCTATCTATATGTAAACCTACTTGTGTCTATGACATGTGAATAACCAATCAAAAGCTCAGAATGTCTCCCTAGTGGCTTTCTTAGCCTCATTGAAGTATTTGGGTGCCAAACTCGTTCCTCTGATGATAGATTACAAGTGGTAAGGTACGACTTTAGTGAGCTCAAAATTTCATAATTTTTTATACCTAAATACAGCTTAGTTACTAAGCTTGTTAAATTACAGTGGAATTCTGTGGTATTGATATAGTAATTTATGATTTTTTGTTATTTTAAAATGTATAAAGAAAATCTAAAACAAATTATTTCGTTTCACATCCTCCAAGTGCAAAATTTGATAAGGCTTAGCAACCAATGCCAAGCAGCCAACAAGTACAAAGTTTGTAACTAGAAGAGATAATTGTTTTCTATAGTTCTATGTTTTAAGAAAAATAAATGAAATTTAAGAACTTACTTGTAAATAGTAATAATGTGTATACATATATGTATATATATATAAAACGTATTATAGTTGAAATGTGACCGTATTTTACAAAATACCAATCCACTAAAACACAGCCAAGACAGGTCACTTTGTAGAGACTAAAGGTCAGTATTATATTATTGGATTGGCAACATGAGTGCATACGTTCGTCATCATTGTAACTTCTGTATTGTTAGACAGGTACAGCTTAAAGGTCAATAAAATAAAAATAGGAAATATATATAAATGTATAATGTTATGAGATTTAAGCTACCTAGTCTAAACATTTATGTTTTCATCTTATAATCTGTAGTCATTCTAAAACAAAAGAAGCATAATTTATGTATATATCCCAATTTTTTTTATGTTAGTCATGATAATGGTCAACTCAATCACACCTGTAGAGATATTCGTTAGAGAATATAACAGATAAAATTATAGTTTTTTCCTTAAAAAAAAACAACTTCTATACTAATCTGGACGATTATT